GAATCTCTGGATTTCTGACCTTCCCCTCTGTGGGTTCTGTTATTAAACCTTTTCTACTGCATCTTTTTAAAAACTCCCTTGTATCCATAGTTCTCGTTACATTACAAGTATTATCGCAGTCCTGCTACTGTTTTCAACCGTTTACAGTGGTTTTTAAGATTAAATTGTAAATTTCCCCCATTCCTTATTAAAGTTTTGGTCTTCCTTGTTCCTGAGCTTTCTGGTCAGTTTTGACATTTCAGCATAGTCCAACAACTTCATTTGCCATTCTTCTCTGGTAGGGACTTTATCTTCTTTCCATCTCTGAGTTAACAACATCCACACGGCTGTTGTCGCATACATAAAAAGTAATTTCTGCTCCCTTGGAATTTTGGCACCTACAATTCTTAATAGAAAAGCCTCTGTGTGTTTTTTTTTTAATAAAAGTTATGCTAAACATTTTTTCCAATTCATTATATATCATTTCCCAGAATGCTTTTATTGCCTTACACATCCACCACATATGATAAAAGGTGAATCTTTCAACATTCAACTCATGTCCATGAGTTCTGGTGGTATAAATGAGGAGGAAAAACCTTTTCATTCATTTCCCCCCTATATATTACGTGACTGACGAACAGCATTGCAAAATTGGGAGAAGTGCAAATTTTGAAAGTTGCCTGTGTTTCGGTTCCTGTATTGCTTTGGAAAGTGCCAATTATATAGTCTCACCTTTAAATGTGATGAGAATTGAACTTCTCCCCTGGGTCTTTCTCAGCCACGCCTGGTGATGCTGAGCATCTTCCGCATGCAAAAGCATGTTCTGAACTAACCGAACAGTCTTTCCCCCTCTTCAACATTAATGATCATTAGCTGAGTATTAACTTTTTAAAAAAGTCATGCTGGATTTTATTGTACATATTGCTGCATCAAGGGAATTTGGGTCTGGTGTATGATCAGTGAGGGTTTCATGGGCATCCACAGAAGATCACGGTAGAAGAATCTTAATGCAGTCATACATCCAGTTATAATAATAATAATAATAATAATAATAATAATAATAATAATAATTTATTTATACCCCACCCATCTGGCTGGGTTTCCCCAGCCACTCTGGGCACTTTCAACAGGGCTGCCTTCAGATGTCTTCTAAAAGTCTGGTAGTTGTTTTTCTCTTTGACATCTGGTGGGAGGGTGTTCCACAGGGTGGGTGCCACTACCGAGAAGGCCCTCTGCCTGGTTCCCTGTAACTTGGCTTCTCACAGCGAGGGAACCGCCAGAAGGCCCTCGGCACTGGACCTCAGTGTCCGGGCAGAACGATGGGGGTGGAGATGCTCCTTCAGGTATACTGGACCGAGGCCATTTAGGGCTTTAAAGGTCAGCACCAACACTTTGAATTGTGCTTGGAAACGTACAATTGCATCAAGATTGCTTTTGTCCACTGCTTAATCAATGTGCATTTTCCCTTTGGCTGCATACAGTAGCACCTCAGCTTACGTTACCCTCGGGTAACGTAAACTTCAGGTTGCAAAAGCGGCAAACCTGGAAGTGTTTCGCCTCGTGCACATGCACAGAAGCGGTCTACTGCTTCTCCTCCAGTTGCGAAAACCTCGGGATCCAGGCCAGACCTCCGGAACATATCCCATTCGCAACTGGAGGTACCACTGTACTTCTTTTCTGGAATTATTTTTTTTAAAAAATCCTGCAAGTTAAACCAAAATTCAGGAGGAGCAGACAGAGCAAACTGGAGGCACAATAACAGTGCTGGAAATCATCTCACCCCTGTCCCAGACTGGGTGGGTAATGAATGCCATGAGGTCTAGAACTTTTATTCATTGGAGGGTTTTATTCAGCCTTTGCGCCAACTCATCCTGGTGTCATGCATGGAGACGAGATACACATCTCCAGAGACTTAGACACAGTTAATGGACTTGTATTTCAGACACAATAGGTGTAGCATGGAAGATACTCATCCCCCAACCTACCTGTTATGACAGCTCAGAAATCTCTTCATAGAGGTTTCCACAAGGAGGGAGGAAGCAGGATGTCAATGTTCCTGGGGCCCTTCCTCTTCTTCCTCTTGCAACAGAATCCTGGCTGGTGATCTTCCATCAATAAGAAACACTCATTGCCTTATCTCCTGGATATCAAGTGTGTTTGCATCACATAAAGTATAAATGGGATGGTACATTTCTCTGAAGATGTGCAGCATGCACTGGGGTGGCGGGCGCTGCCATTGGCAGAGCCTTCCTGCGATGTGTGTGCATACGATGCATTTATTTCACTTTGTAAATTCTTTGCTGCTTTCCCACCAATAGGCCTTCAAGGCTGCATACAATTTTTTGAATAACTTGTTTTTAATCGGTCTATGGTGATTTGGTCGACAAGCCATAAACATTGAAGACAGCATAGGGTTATCGAGGTGAGCACAGCAGAGGGAAAATGCAATGGTTTGTAACCAATGCCAGCCCTACTCAGAGCAGTCCCAATGAAATTAATGAACATGATTAACATAGGTCCCTCTGTTTGAATGGCTCTGTTCTGAGTAGATCTTAGCTGGCTACAACACATTATACCTGCACACAAATTGTGCTTTTAAAAGTACCACGGCAAAACATAAACAACAAAATCCATGAACAATTAGGGGGGAAATACAGTTTTGATTCAGGGACTCTCCAGATATCATTTTACTTAAGCATTCATGTTTATTTGTAGGGCTGGACACTGGATTCAGCCGAAGCCCTGAATATTAAACTAAATCCTCCTAACTGTAGGGATTCTAGGCTTCGCTTGAGTCAGGTGGTGACAACCTCAGAGCAACTGAGAACTCCGAATGCTTTGGTTTTGCTTTAGAAACAAGATTTAGGCCAGTTAATCCAGAAGCCCCCAAAATCAAGAAGGAATGCTGAGTAGGATAATGTCAGCAGCATCCCCAGCCAGATACCCCAGCGAGTTTGTCTGTGATATATCTCAAGCACTGGACCCTTCCACTTCTCCTATAAACTTTGGAAAGTGGTTTGTCTGTTCCCTACAGGTTCAGCTACCTCCTGAGATATCGTAGTCACACTCCTGATATCTCTGCCAAATTTGGCACAAGCGTTTTCAGAGGTGGGGATGGTGTCTGTGCCAATATTTGAACACCCCAATTTGAGATGTATATCTCAAAAAATATCTGAGATGTGCTTATGGTTGAAAGTTCTTTTAAATTATTTTAAATATTATTTTCAATGTTGTAACCCGGCTTGGGAACTTACAGTCAAGGGTGGGTAATGACTAAATAAATAGTGATGGTGATGATATATTAATGATGATGATAGTAATAATAAGAAGAACAATGTCACCAAACGCATCCCAAGAGTTCCTGAGGCGGAGGTAGTAGACTTTGGTGCCGTTTGTATGCCAGGCGCCATTTTGAATCAAGATGGTGGACCAAAACATCACTTTGGTATGATTTTGCCTGTTCTTTGACATAGACTTGGTGACCTCTTGAGATATTTTTGCCATATTTGACACGAGAGTTCCTGACACAGGAGCCAACTCCTAGGGGCTGAGGTCCTTTCATCCCCCCAATAAAACATTTGAGGAGGCAGGGGACGCTATTCAATTGGTGTGTGTGCACTGCATCATGTGATTGATTATGCAGGTGGGGCTTACCTGGCTCCTCCCAATATTTTATCCAGGTTGACACCCCTGGTTCCTGAGCTGAGGTGTGGGAGACTTAAAAAAATATATTGTTTAATCATTTTTTCGATACAAACTTCAACCGCAAAAGACACATACAACAAAAACCATAATAACAATAATAACACAATTTGACAATTCAGATCTGAATACACTGATATACCTACGACTACACCTTTTTAAACAATATTTTCCCACCTCTCTCTCCTCTCCCTACTTCCCACCACTATCCGCCTTATCGCTTAAATATTCATTCCAGATTTCTTCATGTTTATCCATTCTTATTTTGTGTCAACATGCAATTCGTTTGTATGTAGCTAATCTGTCCATACAATGGTACCTCAGGTTAAGTACTTAATTCGTTCTGGAGGTCCATTCTTAACCTGAAACTGTTCGTAGCCTGAAGCACCACTTTAGCTAATGGGGCCTCCTGCTGCCGCCGTGCCGCCAGAGCACAATTTCTGTTCTCATCCTGAAGCAAAGGTCTTAACCTGAAGCACTATTTCAGGGTTAGCGGAGTCTGTAACCTGAGGCGTATGTAACCCGAGGTACCACTGTATTATCAAGCCATGTGCTCAATGGAATCATCACCATTTGGATTCCAGGGTGCAAGTTTGAAGATGGCAGACTGAAATGTGACTTTGCCATGACTTTGCGATGGGTCCAAACTCACAAATTACACTATTCATTTGAAAAACACAATATTTTTGAGTTTCGGGGGGGGGGGGAATCCCAGCCAGTGCTGGGCTCTCCCCGCTAGCTACAGATGGAAGTGAAATATTCTAACAGGCTTTGCAAGCTGAACTGGTTTGGTACTTGGCCTTTGGCACATCTTGCTTTTGCTACCTTCACCTCCCGTTTGGCTACAGTGGGGATTGCATTGCAGGCCTGGAAAAAGTGTTTCAGTAAACTTTGGCCCAATTCATGCATGATGAACATGCCACAGTGGCTATCTTGTAGGAGACGTGCACTTAAAAAGCACCCTGCTGGATTGGACTATCTGATCCAGCATTTTCTGCTTGCATGGAATGGCCAGTCAGATCCCTCTGAAAACCAGCAAGCAGAACTTGAAGGCAACAGATCTCTCCTGCACATGACTCCCCCTTCGACTTCCGATTCCCATCTTGGAAATCTGGGGTGGGGTGGGGAGAGGCGATCACATGTCAGCTCCCACCTCACCACAGTTTAGAAAGTAAAGCAGGCATAGACAAATTCCTGCCCTCCAGATGTTGTCCATGGTCAATATTCAGGGATGAAGAGGGCTGGAGTCTAGCAAAACCCAGAAGCTGTCATAGCCCCCCCCCCCCATTTTAAGCCTTAGATTAATTCTTGAGGTGCTACCTCCGGTGGTGCAGTGGGTCACTGCACATGGTTCTTAACCAGAAGGTTGGTGGTTCAAGCCCACCCCAGGAGGGCTGTGGGCAGGATTGGACAAGATGAACCTTGGGGTTCCTTCCTACTCTACAATTCTATGTTTCTGAGCACAATTCAAAGTGTTGGTGCTGACCTTTAAAGCCCTAAATGGCCTCGGTCCAGTATATCTGAAGGAGCATCTCCACCCCCATCGTTCTACCCGGACACTGAGGTCCAGCGCCGAGGGCCTTCTGGCGGTTCCCTCACTGCGAGAAGCCAAGTTACAGGAAACCAGGCAGAGGGCCTTCTTGGTAGCGGCACCCTCCCTGTAGAACATCCTCCCACCAGATGTCAAAGAGAACAACAACTACCAGAGTTTTAGAAGACATCTGAAGGCAGCCCTGTTTAGGGAAGCTTTTTAATGTTTAATGCATTACTGTATTTTAATATTTTGTTGGAAGCTGCCCAGAGTGGCTGGGGAAGCCCAGCCAGATGGGCGGGGTATAAATAATAAGTTGTTGTTGTTGTTGTTGTTATTATTATTATTATTATTATTATTATTATTATTATATGATTCAAGAGTTCTGGGTTGTGGCAACCCCAAAAATAAGGGATTCCAGAAAGGAACTGGAGGAGCACATCACTAAAAACATTGAGACCCAACCGCAAAATATTTAAATACCTTATAGGCAGGAGATCAGCTAGGGAGGTAGGTGGACCTCTGAACAACAAGGAAGTGAAAGAGGTGCTAAAGGAGACTGCAGAGAAGCTGAACGAATTCTTTCCATCTGTCTTCAGTGTGGAAATTATAGGGCAGAATACTGAACCTGAACTAACTTCCCCAAGAAGGGAGTCTGTGGAACTGAGGCAAATAGTAGTGCTGGGAAAAGATAAAAATGTTGAGACCTTCTTGGCAAACCAAAAACTGAAAGAACACCAGATCATATGTACATAAAATGAGCCCTGTTGGATCAGGATAAATGCCCATCTCCTTCAGCATCGAGCCTTCACAGTGGTCACGCAGATGCCTCTGAGAAGCCCGTAAGCAAGACGCCAGTAGAAAAGCACTGATTCAGTGGACTACTCATGACTCATTTGAGTCAAAGGTGTGACCAGGTCATAGATGTCCCTAGGACAGGGCATGCCTAATGTACGTGTGGCCTTTAAAAAAAGCAAACTAGAAGTTCAGTGGTTTGGGCAGGGGAGAACTCTAACCGTTTTGACACAAACATAGGGCAAGGCATCATTCTGGTGTGATGCAGGTTTCAGAAAGAGAAGTGTTGCAAAGTATTCTTGATGGTACACTACTTTCCACTCCCCCCCCATGCTACAAGCAGATGTGTTTATACTGTTCGACATACAAAACTTCCAGAGTGGTGTACATTTTAAGACTTGAAAGTGAATTTAAGGCAACAGCAGCAATAGAACATCTTTGATGGTTCCAGCAACGTGACTGGGCCACACGACAGGGTAGGCCTACATGACTAAGAACATTCTAAGGAAGCACCTGAAGCAGGTATGGGGAACCCCTCATTCTTCCTGATGTGGTCAAACTACAACTCCCATCACCTCCAGCAAATGTGGCCAATGGCCAGGTCTGATGAGAGTTGTAGTTTAGCAGCAACTAACTGGAGGGCCACAGGTTCTCTACACCTCATCTAAAGCAAGAAACAGAACCTGTGGATACGAATGGGAAAGGAAATTGATTTTGTTTGCATTTCAGCAAGAAAGTACCTACTGTATTTTGCAGTCTCTGAAAAAACACGGAAGCTGAAATTTGGGCCTTTCCATCGATGGCCAGCAGAGGGAAACATCATGACACAATAAGCATGCTGTGTTCAGAAAAATGATTTCTTAAGTTCAACCAAGCAAATTTCCTGACACTCCTGCCAGTTCCAGGTTGTCCCTAGTTTCTGATTGCATCAAAGGCAAGAATTCACTCAGGACAAGAGTGTGCAGCTCTGAATCCCATGTCCTGAAGAAAGCACCTCTAGAGAAGGAGGAATATTGGGAACTGCTTTATCTAGAGTCAGACCCTTGGCTTGGTCCATCTAGCTCATCATTGTTTAGGATTTCAGACAGGGCTATTTAAAAGAAGATTAGACAAATTTATCAAGGACAAGGCTATAAGTAGCTACTAGCTGGGCTCTCCTTCCATGGTCAGAGGCAAGAATGCTTCTGAATTCAATTTTCTGGAATTTTCTGGAGTGCTCTTGTGCTCTGGACTAGATGAGCCACTAGCCTGGTCCTGTAGGAATCTTCTTAATAAGCATCAAAAACAAGGTGGCAAAACCGAAACCAGTCAGGTAGAGGCACACTGTTGAAGGCAACAAGGAGCTCAGCTGCACACCTGCTGTTTTATGTCTGTGCTAATAAGCATTTTACTGTATTTGCAATGGCCTCTGACTACAAGCAATAAATATTTATTGGATTAGATACGCCCATCCATTCATGCACCCATCTCTATCTTCAATCCAAACATCAAAGACATGTTATCAGAGTTCTAGGGCACAGTCAGATGGGGGAAATTACAGGGAGGAGAGGTGACGCAAACCAGTGGGGAGTGTTGTGGGGGCCAGATAGAACACCCTGGAGGGCCACCACCTTTGGACCTTGGTTCTGAGGTTCCCCACCTGTGTTGTCAAGAGATCCAAGGGACTAAGGGGGTGAAGGAATTCTGAGCCCTGGGGACAGGCGGGAGCTGTGTCAGGGTGGGTGAGTGGCTCAAGCAAAAAGGGATGCAGCTACTGCAGCCTACAATGAAAGGGTTTAAATAGCTGCCAAGGGATTGCTCCTGGGTGAACTTAGTGGAGCTTCCTTGCAAGCCCTAAAGAGTCAGGCAAATGATGTATGAGCATCACCACGATGCTGATGGTACCATAAAGACAACGGAAGTAACAGTCAGAGAATCCAGTGTGTGTGTATTAGAAACATAGAACTGTAGAGTTGGAACCCCCTATTTCAACCCTCTGCAAGGCAGGAATATACAGCTGTCCCATACAGGGATCAAACCTGCAACCTTGGCATTATCAGCAGTGATAAAGCAGGAACAGCTGGCAGGTGGGGAAAGAGGGTGATCCCCGGCTGCTTCCTGCCTTAAATAGGGCAGGCCACGCCCCCAGAGCCAGCTGAGGAATCCCCCCCAATCGCGCGGGGCTGGGCTCCAGCTGCTGCGTGCGTGGTGGGGCTGTGAAGCCCGTAACCCCACCTCCTCTGTAGGGTGGAAGTGGCTTTAGCAGCAGCATTCTCCAATCGACAGAGCTATCCAGGCTGAACTATCATATATATAATAAATTATAATAATTATTTTTTGAAAAGCTGCATTATGTTGGTAATTGCTGCTATGACCTTTTTTTTTTAAAAAAAACAGTTATTCTTTTTCATTTTGCTTACAAAGACACACACACACACACACACACACACACACACACACAGAGTCACTCTTATCAGAATTTAATAAGCACTTAAACTTCCGTTTCAAAGAGGCGCTGGTTTCCAACACCTATCATTCAGACTTCCTTTATGATGGATCAGTAAAATAAACAGTGACTCATATCCTCAAGTACCCCATCTAAACAAATACACTTATGGTTGGGTGTCATGAAGCGTCTTCCACCTGGCCTCTAGAAGTTAGCAACCACCAGTGCATCTTATGGGAGCAAATTCTAACTATGCCCTGTGTGAAAAAGTCGGTGTAGACAATGCTAAGCTAGATGGACCAGTGGCCTGACTCTGGATAAGGAAGCTTCCTTTGTTTCTATGCTCCCAAGTAAAGGAAGGAAAAGTGATGAGCAGATAGATGTTTACTGTCCAGTTCCAGAATGAAGTTTAGAAATCCTTGAAGAGGAACTAGAATTCAGGATGAGTGGAATTCAGGAAGGAAGGAAGGAATCCATGAATAATAGAACATTGGGGTTGTTTCTGGTCTTAGTCCAGAGCTCAGCTTGGGGAGCTTTGTGGACCACCCTAATCTTGTTTCTTCAATGTTTTGGTTATCTTGGGTCAGGTTGGAGACATTGCATTTTCCCTGGAGTCTGCAAAAAAGCTGAAGGAGCTCTTGGAAAGGGATGCGGGATCTGCCCCCTTCCACACAAGGAGCCAGCTCACCTTCTTTCTGTGGAAACCCAGAGCTGCTGGAAGAATTCCAGGGCATCTGTAAAGGGAAACATGCCCCCACCCCAATTTTCAAGAGGCTTGGTGAGTTGTGAGGGCTCCTGATCTCCTTGCTCTGTCTCATAGGAAACCCCTGTTTCCTTTCGCATGGAAGGGTGGGGTTGTGGGCATTAAAAGCTGAAACCTATGGAGGTTTGTCCTTTTGGGCAAACGGGGTGCTGCCCAACCAACCTGTCTGCCTTACGAGGCACTGGAAGCAAGCATCCTCCTTGTAGCATCCTCCATTATCCCTTTTAGAAAATGTGGCAGGGAGGAAGTTGGAGATGGACAACTTTGTGGGCACCAGGGGAAAACCTCAAGGGCACCATGGTGCCCACGGGCATCCCCTTGGTGACCCCTGGCATAAGTTATACAAGGAGCCCCCTGTGGGGAGCAGCTCTCATCATGGGCATCATCTGGAGGGATTCTACAATGGTGATTGAATCCAGGATGTGTACCTCCTGCGCACTCTTTATGGAAACATGCAGCTGAAGAGAGATCATAGGTATTTGAAACAAAATGTGCATTCTAGCTAGCTCCCCACCCACCTTAGTTCACAGGGAATGTGAGTGTCTGTTTAAGCATCACTTATAACATCAGGAAACAACCAACCTGGTCTTTTCTCTTTCTTGAACAGATCTTGCTGTGCCCAACATTGCTCTGTGTGATATCTGTGCCAATGCTGCCTGCACTAGCTGTTACTAATGGTGGTAGATGATGTGCCTGGCAGAAGGATCGATTAGCAAAAGCTAGCAGAAGACACGAGATTTCTGATTGTGCCCTTGTCTTGTTCTCTCCTTCCTTCCTGCTGAGGTTTGGAAGGAGCAGCGATGTTCTTTTAGCTCTCCTGAATCTTCACATCAATTTCTGAGATGTGGCAATTCCAGGCAAACCTCCCCAGAGCTTTCATGTTTACTGTCCTTCCTGATGGAGAGGTTCAGCGACTGTGTCCTACTTTTCAACTATTTCTGAACTGTGTTTCAGTGTGTGCATTGCTCTTGTCAATGACAGCCATCAAATCACATGGAGAAGGCATCTCCCGGTGGGTGTTTGACCCTTCCGTTACCTGGTCATTGTAGCAACTGTTAAAAGATTTGCACTTCTATGTTGTTCATGCACAAATCTCAAATAAATACATGATTACATGAGCACAATCTTGTCAATACAATGCTTAGTTCATGGTTTTGTGGCTGGGTGAAAATCACCAGCAATGAAAGAGGAGACGCATATTAGGGAAGATGGTGCATCCTTAGCTGGCTCAGCCAAGGACATTTTGGGTTGTATCCAACATCGGTCCAACTAACTTAGGTCCATCAATTTCAGTGGGTCTATTCTAACTCAGCTGGATACATTGCTGCGCTGCTTGAAATTCAAGATGTTAAATGTCATTTTGTGTAAAGAACTGCAGTTGAATCTTATGTCATAGATTTATTACATATGCAGCATTGATAAGGTAAAGGTAAAGGGTCTCTGGGGTAGAACATGGTTATAAGCCTCCATGGATACATGATGATTTTTGGAATGGTACCTTTATTTAAAAACTGAAATGACTTAAAAGTTAAATGTAATTAAACAAACATTTGGTGCTTATTTGGGGATGGGGTAGGATGGTTGAATATTGAATGTTGAATCTTGTATAAATATGTAAAAATAATGACAGATTTGGGTGGAAAAGAATAAGTAAAACTACATTTTCCTTTCTCTTACACAGTAACAGGGATGTCCCAGATCTGCTGGTTATTCTTTTCTTGTTAACTTGCATCCCAAAATGTGACTTTTTATTGTCACAGCTGTCCAGTAGAGTACAGAAGTATGACACAGGAGCCACATTCCATTTGAGAAAGTTGTTAACAAGTTTGATATCCCAAACATCGTGAACCCCGGAAAATGCATAGATGCCATTTCTCTTAGAGTTTAAGAGTTTCTCTTAGAGCTTAAGAGTTTGGGATGGGGGAGGGAGAAAGCTGTGAAAAATCTGGAGGACAACTTTCCCTTTTGAATTCCCAGGCAAGTTCTCATCTAAATGGTGTGCACACCTGCAGATACTCCCTGGGCAGGGCAGGTAGCTGCAACTTAATTATATTTTATTTTCTACATCTTTTGAACTGGCAGCATGTTAGCTTGAATTTGCTTTTGCAGTTCCAAATGGTCTGCACACAAACGTTGGGAGATTTGGGATAGATAAATGGAAGCGTTTCTTCGCACAACACATAGTTCAACTATGGAACTTTCTCCCACAAGCCACCAATTTGGCTGGCTTTAAAACTGGTTTAGAACAGAGGTTTTCAACCTTTTTGAGTCCATGGCTCCCTTGACCAACTACATTGTTCCTGTGACACCCCTGTGGGGCTCAGGAGCCCAGTTATGTCACCCCTTGCCTGCAGAGCTGGCAGCCTCTCACCTTTTTTTCAAGCACGCTCCCTTGTGGAGTGTCCCCTCAGCCCCCTCTTCTCTTCCCTCTCCTTGGGAGTCCTCTGGACAGCCACTGCTGGTCTCTGAGCTGCCCCCCTTGCCCTAAAGAGAGGTGCCTCCTCACACTGCCCCACAGGAGACTGGGATTTGTCTGTCCATTCCCAACAGCAAGGGCTGGTGGACTGGCTGGCTGGACTTCCTTGCCTGCTTGTTTGCTTACTCCGACGACACCTCAGCCCCTGACAACCGGCACCCCTTGGCCAGCCCCAGAGGTGCCATTTGCTGTGGAGCTTGTAGCCAGGGCTGCTGCAACAAACAGCTGTGCAAGCCTTTGGGAGGCAGAGATGCAACAGGATATCAGAAGAGGGAGGGAAGGAAAGAGGGACAGAGGCTAGTGTTACCTGCAGCACCGAGGGCTCATTTTATGGCCTACCATGAAATGTAGGATTTGGCACCATTTTTGAGTGAATTGGACAATTACAGGCTTTTGGCGAAATCGTGACCCTGCGGGTTAGGGTGCCGAGGGCTTATTTTATGGACTACTGTGAAATGTGGGGTTTGCACCCCCAAATGCTGCAAGGGCGATTTGCAGGTGTTTGGCACTGTTTTGAGTGAATCGGATGATGTCAGGTTTTTGGAGAAGTCAATCAGTGTCCTATGTTCTACCTCCACTATCAGAAGCATTATGGATCTGAGCACCTGCTACTGAGAATCACAAGGGGGAGAGTGTTCCTGTGCTCAGAAACCTTCTTGCAGGTCTCTGGCAGGCATCTGATTGGCGACTGAGAGGACAATATGGTGGACTAGATGGGGCACTGGTCTGATCCAGCAGGCTCTCCTTGCATTCTTAATTTTGGGGCCCCCATCCCTCAGCTGCCGTAGTGCCATGCCTGCCTCCGGTCCAGTGTTTGCATATCCTAATCTGAGCTGAGTCAACACATTCCTGAATGAACCATTTTCTGCATTCCAGTTGCATTAGCTTTATTGAATTCAGCTCATCTCTTTTCATCCTAGGTAGCTCTTTTGTATACATGGGCATGCGTGTACGTGCACAGCCGCACACATAGGGAGAGAGTTGTATTGTTTCGTTTCCCAATTTGTAATCATGAAAGTATGCTTGCTGTGAAGAATTACCTTTGAGAAGCTGTTGGATAATTTCTCTTCCCCTCCCCATTCCAGGAAATTTGGTGAAAGTGTTACCTCCCGTTTATTCATTTATTTGTTTTGCCCACAAACAGGGTTGGGAATATATAAAGGAAGCTACCTTATACAGTACGTACCTCTGGTTACATACTTGATTCGTTCTGGAGGTCTGTTCTTAACCTGAAACTGTTCTTAACCTGAAGCACCACTTTAGCTAATGGGGTCTCCTGCTGCCGCCACGCTACCGCCGTGCGATTTCTGTTCTCATCCTGAAGCAAAGTTCTTAACCCGAGGTACTATTTCTGGGTTCGCGGAGTCTGTAACCTGAAGCGTATGTAACCTGAAGCGTATGTAACCCGAGGTACCACTGTACTGAGACATGCAATTGATCCATTTAGTGCAATACTGCAGGTTGAGAAGGCGAGACCAACAATCAAGAAGGCGGTTTCTGTTGTTGTTGTTAGCTGCTCTGAGCCCGGCTTCAGCTGGGGAGGGCGGGATATAAATAAAACTGTATTATTATTATTATTATTATTATTATTATTATTCTGCATGTGTCGCAGAGGGAAGTGAGGGGCAGATGGGGTCCATCAACTTGGCAAGGTAGCTTATCGGGAGAAGGAAAACTCTGACCCTAAAGCTCCCCTGCCTCTTGGCTGTGCTCATTCATGAGAAAGTATTCACGAGTAAACCCCTAGGAAAATTTTGTACCCATGCATAGCGGGACAATTTTGGGAGATTAGTAAGGAGTAAACACTACACCAATCCAGAGTAGAGTCCCTAAGATGGCTGGATGGTGCCTTGTACGCCTCCTTCCGGCAACTCCTGCAGCCAAGCTGGTGCCAAATGTATTACTCTGCTTTCCTTTGGATCACATCAGTGATGCCGAGAGTGGGGTCTTCTCATCTGGGCAGCCCAGGAACTCCAGACACACTGCACAGGCTTACACCCTGGGAAGGTCACTTCAGAGATGCTAACACAGTGGTTTGACTTCACTCCCAGAGATGCACTCCATTGTCGCTTGAAACAGATGGATGCCATTAAGGTTACATAGGGACTGGTGCTGTATATCTGGGCTTTCAGACTGGGGCCTCTTCCAGACCCACCTGGAGATGCTGGAGATGAAGCTGTCCACATGCAAAACAGGTTATCTCCTGCAATGCATTCTACCTTTGAAGGTGACGCCGAAACTACAACTAATCCAGAATGCGGCAGCTAGACTGGTGACTGGGAGTGGCCGCAAAGACCATATAACACCAGTCCTGAAAGACCTACATGGGCTCCCAGTATGTTTCCCAACACAGTTCAAAGTGTTGGTGTTGACTTTTAAAGCCCTAAACAGCCTCGGTCCAGTATACCTGAAGGAGCATCTCCACCCCCATCATTCAGCCCGTAGGTCCAGCGCCGAGGGCCTTCTGGTGGTTCCCTCCCTGTGAGATGTGACGTTACAGGGAACCAGGCAGATGGCCTTCTTGGTAGTGGCACCCGCCCTGTGGAACACCCACCCATCAGATGTCAAGAAAACAAACAACCATCTGACTTTTAGAAGACATCTGAAGGCAGCCCTGTTTAGGGAAGTTTTTAACATTTGATGTTTTGTCATGGTTTTTAATATTCTTTCGGGAGCCACCCAGAGTGGCTGGGGAAACCCAGCCAAGTGGGTGGGGTATAAATAATAATTTGGCATTAGTATGATTATTATTACTTAATACCTACATGGAGAGAGTTTTTTCCTTGCAACAGGGAATTTTTGGGAAAATGGGGCTGGCAAAAACCAGCCAGATGGGCAGGGGTATAAATAATAAAATGACTGTAATAATTAAACGAGCCAAACCATTTTCACATCAAAGTAGTAAAGGCAGAGAGCATCAGCGCATTGGAAATCTTTATTTTGGACATGCCAAACAGGGATATCCACAAGGAAGCCAGTTTTGCAAGTCAGAAGCCAGTTTTGCTTAAGAGATCGCCATCAAAACCAAACGACCAAATCACCAACAGAGAACAAAAGGGTATTTAAACTCAAATAGAAGTGTTATGTGGGATACACAGTGTTTTAGTCTGCATATTGATTTCATTTTAAAATGTGTGGCCATCAAGAAGCAGGGGCATCATCCAAATCAACCACCTCTGTGGAGAGGAAGAGGGGGACTATGGGAACAGGAAAGGTTTGCTGGGGATGGAAGGAAAATGCTGGAAAGAAATTGGGATTTCTGGTTCCTCTCTGCTACCACTATACTCCACTGCCATGCACCCCAAAGCTGATGGCCAGAAACTGGCTGCTGGATTGCGATAGGGGAGAGATTCAGTTCAGTTCAGTTTGCATTTAAAGCTTAAAGTGCCTGATTTGTACTTTGAACAACCATTGTTCACGATCCATACCCCTCTAGGTTTTGCAATGCAGCTCTCCAGCCAAAAAAATGTATACTAGGCCAAAGTATGGATAAGCATGCACCTACAACAGAAGGCAGAAATGCACTATATTAGGGGAAATTGCTTTGCAAAAAATATTCACATTACGGGAAATCGCATGGGAAGGTGTGCATTTTAAGAGAAATTTGCACCAAAATGCTGATGAATTTTCACGAGTGCTTTTTAAAATGACAAACTGGTGCTGAAATGTGGAGAACTGACCTAAAAATGGCAGTGTGAAGGGTGAAAAAATGACTTTAGGCAGCATCTAACATTCCTGAGATGTAATATTACTTCTCATTGAGAATCAGCTGCAGAAGGTTGTAATCTTGAGGGAAGAGTAAGTAGAGGAGAGGGGAGCCAGATTGCCCCTTTTGCTCAAAATGTCACCCCAGCTACTTTTCTCCCTATAGGGGAAAATGTATCGGGAGCCTGTTCAGGGGGAAATACAGCCAAGTCTTGATTTTGACTAGGAAACATGTCTGGCAACAAAAACTTCTTCTCCCCACCTTCTTTTTTCTGTTCGCATTTGCAAACTCACACAGCTGGTTTTCAATTTTTAAAAAGCAGAAGAAAAATTACATGGAACTGTTATTATTATTTTTTGCAGTGACCAATCACCTTTCTTTCAACCATTCTCCTTCCTTCCCCAGCCCAACTTCCTGTCCTTTGCACTCTCCCCTCTGACATGGATTCTGAATTGTGCTCATAGAGGTTTTAGGGATGGGGTCCAGGAAGCCAAGGCTGGCCCAGCCAATCTGTACAAGTGGACAGAGGTGTCCTCTGTTGGTTTGGATGAGGAAAAGGCAGCAGTAGCAGCGAGGGGCGGTTGTCAGGATCCACTTAGAAAGCCAGCAAAGATGGTGGTGGTCTTCTTCATTAGCATCCAGAGCAGGCAACGTTGGCACAAATCTCACAGGTCGCAGCATCTGCGCTGATCATTTCTGAAGCAAAGAAATAGAAAGACTCTTTGGGTGACTTTGGGACGACTCTTTGGGTGACTCAAGTACTCCAGTTGGGACTGAGAGGGGAGGGATTCATGTGTACCTCTGGGGCTTCACCTCTAATCATCTCAACCATGTCCCTACACCAGGGATGGGGAACCCCTAGGCCTCCAGATGTTGGACTTCAGCTGCCATCATCACCAGCCAGCATGGCCAATGGCCACAGATGATGGGAAGTGTAGTTCAAGAACATCTGGAAGGCTTCGGTTTCCTCATCCCTGACCTAGATCTGGCCTCGATCCGGGTTAGGAAGCCTATTGAGAAGGAGGGTAGCACTGGTTAGGAAGCCTATTAAGAGGGAGGTCTCACTCCCTAGTGTCAGGTGGCTCTAAGCAACTCCCACAGCTGGTGCCAGGGATGTACAAAGACAAGGAAAAGTTTCTTACCTTCCGCTTTTTATTCAATATTTACAGAGAGAGGCTTTGGAACACAGCCTCTTTGATAATGGTGTTGTCCTGAGTGACTCTCCACTCCCTTCCTCATTCGTCATTGTCATCACCTCCCCTATAGGTGCCCTTGGGCGCTTCTTCTCCGAGCTCTTTGCTCTCCTAATTTCAAGGCTCGTCAGGTCTGGGAGGGAGGGACTGGAATGCTTTCTAAAGACATTGTGTCTGTCAGCTGTGCCCCCACTTTGCGTCCTCTTTCTCCTCCTCCTCTCCCATTATTTCCCAGCTTTCCCCCTCATCTGCCTCTGAGCTGTGACCTCCCTCAAACCCCTGTTGCAATTCTGAACTGTCTTCTTCTCTGGAAGGGTCAGGATGGGGAGGCAGTCTCCACCATTCCTCCTCTGCCTAGTCCCTGACACCTAGCAAGTAGGAAAACAGCAACAGGGAATCTAGAGGCACTTTAGAGTCTAACACATTTATTATCACATAACCTTTTGAAGACTAGTCCCCAGCATAAGCCTGTTACTCTTCAAGGTGTCACAAGAAAATTCTCTTGTTTGTGCAGCAACATACAAACAGGGCCGTCTTATCCATAGGCACTAGGGATGTGGGGCACCTGGGTGCCGGGCTCTCAGGGGTGCCAGGCCCAGAGTCCGGGGCCTGAGAGTTGAGTCCGGAGAAGAGCCCACCCTCTGGTTGGAACACCAGGCTCTTCTGGTTTGGGCCGAGCCAGCGAGACGCTGAGGCAGCTGGCCGGCTCTGCCCTCCTGCGTACTTGGGACTGGGCATCCTGAGGGGGGGGCATCGGGCGGATCTTTGCACCCTGGCGCCACATATACTTAAGACAGCCCTGGTTACTCCTCTGGAAAATGTTGCAGTGGAGACAGAGCACAGCCATTGTGGCAAGTAGCCATTTATAGCCTTCTTCTCCCATGAATTTGTCAAACCCCCCTTTAAAGCCATCCGAGGAGAGGAGGAGGAATAAGACCCCAGAAGATCTCTGCTGGATCAAAGTTTGCCTTCCTCTCTTGTAATTTTAGAACCCAATGGGGCCATCCAATGAGGCTAAATGTTGGAAGATTCAGGACAGTCTAGATCAGTGGTTCCGAACCTTTTTTTTTTGGCCATGCCCCCCCAAGCATCTCTAAAATCCTGACACCCCCCCTGGTGATATATAATTCTTATTCTTACAAACATTAGTTCATGTGGAGGAAGCCTAAAAGGCCATTAATTGTTAATGACTCATTCTCAAATTGCCCCCCTTAAAAATCAAATTGCCCTCCCCTGTTGGGAACCACAGGTCTAGATAAAGCATTTCCTTCAAGGGGTCAACTGTTAAACTGGGGGGATTCGTTCCCACAAGAGGCAGTGAGGTCTAACAACTTGGACAGCTTTACAAGAGGATCAGACAAATCAATGGAGGGTGAGGTTATCAATGGCTACTAGTTTTTCACTCCAGAGGTGGTATGCCTCTGAGTACCAGCATCTGAGAATTGCAGATGGGAAGAGGGGTCTTGGGCTCATTGGTCCTGCTTCTGGGCTTCCCCCAGGCATCTGGTTGGTCACTGTGAGAACAGGACATTGGGCAAGATGAGCAGGGCTGGTCTGATATTCTAGCTGCAAAGCAAACTTGCACAGAGGCCCATCTGGAATATGCCTCTTATGTCTGGCTGTTCAAGGCTGAGGAGTCATCCCACGTTCTCATGCATGCATTGACCATCACCACATACCGAGCTGTCGGAGCAGTATTCCTGCTTTGGGGGATGCACAGAGTGGTGCAAACTCTGTGGGCATTTTCGGGTCTCTGCACGCACCAAATGTGGCGCCCATACGTGTGCGTATGTCCTTGGATCTCTCCTTGAAGAAGCCCTCCAGCTGCTTCACTGATTCCAAGGGGAATACGTAGTCTCCCACCTGCCCAGGGGAAATTAGAACAGAGTATCACCATCACTTGCCCACAGCAGGGCATGTAATAGGTTCCTTCTCCCTCCTCCCTAGTCTTGGTGCCAGGGCTGGCCCGATACATTTTGGCACCTGAGGTAGACCCCCAAATAGTGCCTCCATCTGTCCCAGGGAAGAAGGGGTGAGGGAAGGTCTACATTAGGAAGAAGGAGGGGGAAGACATTGGGATCTGCTGTCATCTGCCCTTACAGAATTCCTCAGAGGGACAAACAGAATTATTGGGCACTGTGTGCCATTGGGTCTGTCTCCCTCTACTGTTGTCCCCCCCTGCCTTCTGCTCCACCAGCCACCACTGCACATTAGAGCCTTGCCAGCAACATCCTCATGCATGGAGACCCACTGAAAAGGTCAAACTGTAACTTAGAAACCTGCGTGTGTTTGTGTGAAGGAACCTGCTCTTCAAGCAAATCCCTTGGCTGGGAAATTTCAAGGGCAAGGCTTATCCTTGCCTAGCATGTATTTGCAAAGCAATAAAGATAGAGGCCTGTTCTCAGAAGACCATCCTCCAAGGCTGTGCTGACTGATCAAATCCTGTGCTGTGCAAGGAGCCTAGCCTGCCTAGAGACTGCTGAAAACTAACAATGCACAAACCCTCTATAAGGCTACAGTAGAACAGGGAACCTTTAAAAAAAAAAAATCAGCCCAAGGTCCACATTTCTCTGTGGACAACTTTCCAGGGGCCAAATTTTATGTTTGTACATTAGGCTAGTTTCCACATGAACTCACCTGCCCCCATCCTCTATAGAATATAGAGGTGTGTGTGTGTGTGTGTGTGTGTGTGTGTGTGTGCGCGCGCGTGTGTGTGTGCGCGTGTGTAGAAACTAGCCCCAAAGGTAAAATCTACATTCATTTCTCCACCAATTTTTTCCTCTGACTCCCTCCCCACCATCATGTGGCCCCTAGAAGTTTATGCAATAGAGGTGTGGCCCTCTGGCTGAAAATTGTCCCCCGCCCTGCCAATGTGCATCCAACTGTATCAAGATTCTTTTCATAGGGTGTTTTATCAATATGCTGGCATGCGTGTTCACATTAGCTCAAACACAGCAGAGAAAGAGTCTCCAGGCAACCACACAGTACAGCAACATCAAAATTGCTTTGTTGCAGTGTGGTTGTTTTTCAATGCACACATACCCATCAATAGGGCAAGGAGGAGAAAGGCATGTAAATGGTGTGACGGGAAGGGTGTTTCCAACTGTGCGAGGTCCAAATCCACAATTCGTTTTAGAGATTCTCCCAGTATTTGGGAGGGGTGGATTTCAGTACAGAGCAAAGCAGAGAGAGGAAAAATAATCCTCAATTACAGTGGCCATGTGGCTGCTTGGTAAATTCACTGCTAATTCCTGCTAATAGTCTGACTGTGTACATCGCACCACTCCTTGGTGTGTGGAGTACCTCAGGGTGCGATACTCTCCCTGATGCTTTTCAACATCTTTATGTGCCCCCTCGCCCAGCTTGTTCGGAGTTTTGGGCTGGGTTGCCATCAGTATGCCGATGACACCCAACTCTATCTGTTGATGGATGGCCATCCTGACTCGGCCCCAGACACACTGACCAGATGTTTGGAAGCTGTGGCTGGATGGTTACGTGGGAGTCAGTTGAAGCTAAATCCTTCGAAGACAGAGGTGCTGTGGCTGGGACAGGACGATATGGGATGGGGGGGCAACTCCCATCTCTTGCGGGGGCGCAATTAGTGCCAGCACCGTCCGTTAAGAGTTTGGGTGTAATCTTCGACACCTCCCTTTCCATGGAGGTGCAGATTGCAGCTATAACAAAGGCGGCATTTTTCCATCTCCGCCAAGCTAAGCAGTTGGCTCCTTACCTCTCTCGCCCTGACCTAGCCACTGTGATCCACGCGACGGTCACCTCCAGACTGGATTATTGTAACTCGCTCTACGTGGGGCTGCCCTTGAGACTGACCCAGAAACTCCAGCGGGTGCAGAATGCTGCAGCGAGACTCCTTACGGGGTCTTCGCTGTGAGATCACATTCACCCGGTGCTATACCAGCTGCACTGGCTCCCGGTGGAGTACAGGACCGGGTTTAAGGTGCTTGTTTTAACCTTTAAAGCCCTATATGGCCTAGGACCCTCGTACCTATGGGACCGCCTCTCCTGGTATGCCCCACAGAGAAACTTACAGTCTTCAAATAAAAACATCTTGAAGGTCCCAGGCCACAGAGAAGTTAGGCTGGCCTCAACTAGAGCCAGGGCTTTTTCGGCTGTGGCTCCGATCTGGTGGAACGCTCTGTCACAAGAGACCAGGGCCCTGCGGGACTTGACATCTTTCCGCAGGGCCTGCAAGACAGAGCTGTTTCACCAGGCCTTTGGCCAGGGCACAGCCTGACTCCCTCCCTCGGCAATCTTCGCGGAGCTCTGGCTCAATGGTTGCCAGTGGCTTGAATTAACTAATTTTATAATGAATGATTTTAGAGTGTTGTTTATGCTGTACTTTTGTACTGTTTTATTGTTGTTAGCCGCCCTGAGCCCGGCTTTGGCTGGGGAGGGCGGGATATAAATAAAATTTATTATTATTGTTATTATTATTATTATATCTTTTGGTAAATGATTAACTGGACCCACTGTTTGCTGTAAGCTATTCCTTTAGGGGTCTCCTTTGTTTTGCCTCCTTCGACTAAGGCTATAGAAGTTCACCTCTTTCTACGGCCATACTACCCTGAACACGCCTGATCTCGTCTGATCTCGGAAGCTAAGCAGGGTCAGGCATGGTTAGTACTTGGATGGGAGACCCCCTGGGAATACCGGGTGCCATAGGTAAAAGAAGAAAAAAAGAAGTTCACCTCTTAGTGGACATGCACAGGATCTAAGACCTCCCAGAGTTAAAGCTCAAAGTGATCAATAAGCAGCTGCCCTGTATTGAGTCAGATTATTGGCCCATCTGGTTCAGTATAATCTATACCAGTGTTTCCCACACTTGGGAGTTGTAGTCCAACAACTGCTGGAGACCCAAGTTTGGGAAACCCTGGTCTACACAGACTGGCAGCAGCTCTCCAGGGTTCTAGACTGGGGTTTCTTCCTGGAGATACCAAGGGCTGAACCTGGGAGCTTTCTCTTACAAAGCCGTTGCTCTAATTCTCTGCTATAGTCCATTCCCTTAAAACTAAAGATTCCAGTTCTAAATGGAAAGCTGTCCAAATATGAACAAAAGAAGCTGCGCTGTATCAGGTCAGAACATTATTACTTATATCTCGCTGTCACCTACACTGATGGGCAGTAGCTGCCCAGGGTCTTTGGGAAAGGTGTATCTCCACCCTATTTGGAGATGCCAAGGATTCAACCTGGGACCGAAGGCATCTAGGAATCAAGTTCTCTAGCCACTGAGCTACAGCCCTTTCCTTCAAGGTGATGCCATAAGGGCAGAACGGCGATCCTGGGAGGATCCCACAACTCTTACCTTGACTTCGACCCCATCTGAGAGGACAGCCAGCACACTCAGGCAGACTGTGGCCACCAGGTAGGTGTTCATGGTGAGTCACAATTCTGGTTCTCACTTGGAATGTCAGGGCGGACTGGCTCGACAGCGACGGAGCTGGATTTTTAAAGGATGCCCTCTAGTTATTGAATAACTAAGGTATATTGGCACCGGCTAGGATGGTGACAACCCCTTAGGCAGTTTGTGAAGTGTGATAGCCCCAAAGAAATGCCTCCGCCCAGAAAACATTGACATCTTTGTTGTTTTATGGCACTTCGTCAGAAGAGTGTTTCCTTCTACGAACTTTGCTTGCCGTATCCCAGCTGGGATGGAGCCGCCAGCAGGTGATGGGTGGATAGCTTTAAGAGCCAAAGGGCAGGGGGACCACACCAAGGCCCAATCCTGTAGGCTGCTGAGCAACTCCTGCTTCATTTCTTTTTAAAATAATTTTTACTACATTTTTGTAATCACAATAGCCATACATACATCAATAAACTCAAAGTTCGCTCTTACCAGAGCATCGACCTCCTCCCGCCCCTCTTCCTGACTTCCATGTATATTTACTTTAATCCTAACATTTCTATAACCACTTTTTTACCGTCTATCTTGTTTTTATATTTCCCCTTGTTAAATGTAAATCAGTTCCTTATATTGTCATTACAAAACTTTTCAACTCAAAGCTCCAAACGTTTTCAGATGTTTACAATATTCTTTCATATACAGTATAATATAAATTTGCTCCAGTCCTTTCGAAACAGTTCGTCGTGCTGATTCAGGATCTTCCCCATCAGCTTTGCTAACTCAATGTATTCCACCATCTTACTCCGCCATTCTTCCAATGTTGGAATCTCCTGTGATTTCCATTTCTGAGCCAGAAGTATACTTGCGGCCATTGTGGCATACATAAAAATAACTCCTGCTTCAAATAGGATCTGAACCAGCTGTAATCCAAATGGGAGGCTGTTACTTGTTGCAATAGAGTCTCAGAGGTGCTTGCCTCACTTCCGAGATGTTCTAACTTAGCTTTCCCCAACCTGGTGTTCTCCATATCTTTTCAGTTCACATTTAAAGGCAAATCTACTCACTATGCACTTACCCAAGCTGTTTGTATACTGAAATAAAGCCATCCTTTGAAATTCGCATTTCTTTGAATTTTGCAATGCAGATCTCCAGCCAAGGAATGTGTACAAAAATACATATGCTATGGCCCAGAAGTGGCCATTGGAATGCATCTATGGACTCAGCTATACAGCTGCAAATATAACGTTTTAAGTGTGTTTTAAGTGCATTATACAAATGTGTCACTAGATGGTGATGGTGAGCTTATGGCAAATTCAATATATTTTTCAAAACGCTTAAAAAAGCATTTTCACCGAATTTTTTTATATGTGTCTAGATTCCACCTATTAGTGAGAACGACATGCAAAAATACATTACATTGCTTTGTAAGAATGTCTGTATTAGGGGAAGTTGCACACGAGAATATGTAGGCTAGCAGATATGTGTACTAAAATGTGGATGAGTTTTCATGGAGACTTTTAGAAGAAGAAAACTAGTAAACTAACATGGAAACATGGAGAACTGAGTTTAAGATTTGCTCCTGTTGACTGGCCTCAGCCTGAAACTACAGCCCCTCCACTAAGAAAAGCAAACCTTTGCACAGACAAAGTTTGTGTGTGTGTGTGTGTTTTGTCATGTTGCACTTGGGACGTAGCAACATGTTCTTTCCTGGCAGCAAAAGATACAGGCCATGTTTTAGTTTTGAAGTAGTTAGGAGTTGTGCAACTGCTCGCCCTATAATAAACATTCCTGAAAGTATATATAAAGTAACAACCCATTCCATCCTGCTTTACAATTGCTCATGTTTAACTTTCCCTTGGCTCAAGGGAAACCTACGACGACCTGTTTATTTTGTTTCTAATTTTCCAAGGCCACCTTTCAGTAGAAGCTTCCAAGGCAGCCAAAACAATGCTATAATGCAAAAGCAGGGGAAGTGGGTGGGAGGAGCTTGTTGTTGTTTAGTCGTTTAGTAGCATCCGACTCTTTGTGACCCCATGGACCAGAGCATGCCAGGCACTTATGTCTTCCACTGCCTCCCGCAGTTTGGTCAAACTCATGCTGGTAGCTTCGACAACACTGTCCAACCATCTCGTCCTCTGTCGTCCCCTTCTCCTTGTGCCCGCCATCTTTCCCAACATCAGGGTCTTTTCCAGGGAGTCTTCTCTTCTCATGAGGTGGCCAAAGTATTGGAGCCTCAGCTTCAGGATCTGTCCTTCCAGTGAGCACTCAGGGCTAATTTCCTTCAGAATGGATAGGTTTGATCTTCTTGCAGTCCACGGGACTCTCAAGAGTCTCCTCCAGCACCATAATTCAAAAGCATCAATTATTCGGTGATCAGCCTTCTTTATGGTCCAGCTCTCACTTCCATACATCACTACTGGGAAAACCATGGCTTTAACTATACAGACCTTTGTTGGCAAGGTGATGTCTCTGCTTTTTAAGATGCTGTTTAGGTTTGTCATCACCTTTCTCCCAAGAAGCAGGCGTCTTTTAATTTCGTGACTGCTGTCACCATCTGCAGTGATCATGGAGCCCAAGAAAGTAAAATCTCTCACTGCCTCCATTTCTTCCCCTTCTATTTGCCAGGAGGTGATGGGACCAGTGGCCATGATCTTAGTTTTTTTGATGTTGAGCTTCAGACCATATTTTGCGCTCTCCTCTTTCACCCTCATTAAAAGGTTCTTTAATTCCTCCTCACTTTCTGCCATCAAGGTTGTGTCATCTGCATATCTGAGGTTGTTGATATTTCTTCCGGCAGTCTTAATTCCGGCTTGGGATTCATCCAGCCCAGCCTTTCGCATGATGAATTCTGCATATAAGTTAAATAAGCAGGGAGACAATATACAGCCTTGCCGTACTCCATTCCAAATTTTGAACCAATCAGTTGTTCCATATCCAGTTCTAACTGTAGCTTCTTGTCCCACATAGATATTTCTCAGGAGACAGATGAGGTGATCAGGCACTCCCATTTCTTTAAGAACTTTCCATAGTTTGCTGTGGTCGACACAGTCAAAGGCTTTTGCATAGTCAATGAAGCAGAAGTAGATGTCTTTTTGGAACTCTCTAGCTTTCTCCCTAATCTAGTGCATATTTGCAATTTGGTCTCTGGTTCCTCTGCCCCTTTGAAATCCAGCTTGCACTTCTGGGAGGTGCTTAATTTGTTTAATTCACATATTGATACATTTTAAACCCCCAATTGAAATTACACCAACTGCGAGGTTGCATTCCTGTTCTCATCTGCCTGGGAGTAAGTCCCATCAAATTAAGTGGGGCTTACCTCTGAGCAGACATGCAAAGGAGCACCTCATAAAGGCAGCAATCAAAGCACAGTTAAAACTTTCCCATTAAAAGCCCTGGACAACAAAATAAGTTTTGACAGGCTGCCAAAAGGAAAACAGAGTCAGCACCAACAGGGCATCCTGGGAAATAGCATCCCACAACTGGGGTGCCACCACTAAGAAGGCTTCGCTTCCAGTGGCCACCACCTGCAGCTCTGAAGGCAGCAGCGGCCACAGCAGGTCTCCTGATGCAGATCCTCAGAAATGAGAAGGTTGGTGTGGGCTGAGAATTGGTGGTTCCTACTGAATGGAGTGGGTTGTGGACCGGTGGGCGAGGGGGGGGGAGACGACAATTTATCAGGCTACACTGTCCCTCATTTTTTTCCCCAGTCAGGGTCTCCCATGGGGAGGAGAAGCCAGGTAACCAGCATCCTACAGGCCTGTTACATCTCCTGAACTCTGGATTCAACCCAATGACTCAAAAAATCATTTAAAACAAAACCACTCCAAGCAGAAGAAACATATTCATAAACCATGGAAGCCGACAATAGTAATAGAATCATAGGAATATGGAGATGGATGGGACAAGGATCCTGAGAACTCCCCCCCCCCCATTTCTCAGGAGGACAGACCATGAGGGCTTTATTTGGGGTGGCAGTCACACATCTTTGAAGGTCTGCTCAACATTTTAAGTTTGCAAATAATGGTGATGAAGGTTTATTGTTTAACTTTTCCATGTCAGCCTTGGGGCCAATTGACGCAGCTGCCTTTCATATATCAGAAGAAAGAGGAACTGCCATCTGACGTGTTCTTTGAAGGACACCAACCTGAGCATGCGCAGGGAGGGGCAGGGCAACTATGCTCATGTCACCTTCTCCCCAATTCTCCAGTTTTAAGGGCAGTACTCCAAATCAGTTTATGGATTTCTTTTTCAAGTCCCCATTAAAACTCACCAGCATTTTAGGGCTAATTTTTATTGCTATACCCATTTTTAGGCAATATTCCCTAATGGAAAGCAGTGTGTGTGTGTGTGTGTGTGTGTGTGTGTGTATACAGTCCCAGTGAAAATTCACCTGCTTTTTAGTGTGACTTTCTCCGAATGCACCCATTCTTGTATGCATTAAGAAGTTGGCTGATTTGGCTAAGAGGACTTAAGAAGTTGGGACTTAAGTGGGCTAAGGGGGGGGGGGGCTTGAGATGGCTAAGAGAGATAAGGGGACTTAAGTGTGCTAAGTGGGCCAAAGTGGGCTGAAGTGAACTGAAGTAGGTCTGTTTGGGCCTAAGTGGGTTGAAGTGGGCCAAAGTGGGCTAAAGGGACTTAAGTTGGCTAAGTGGCCTTGATGCACATTCCTGTCTGCTCTCTGGCTAGGATTGCAGGAAAGTGCCTGCTAGACCATGCTAGACCTAATTGGGCCTTCATAGAATTGGGTATCCATAGAATTGTTGAATGGTAGAGATGGAAGAGGACCCAAGAGTGATCTAGTCCAACCCCTTGCAATACAAAGCCACTTCCGAGCTTGGGAGGAGGTGGGGTTGCGGGCTTCACCCCCACCCCCACGTGCGCGGGGGCTGCTCCCTGCCCCCACGAGATCAGGGGAATCCTCGGCGGTGTCATCCACCCAGCCAGCCAATTGGCGGGCTGGGGGTGTGGCCTGCCCTATTTAGGGCCGGCGTGGCCAAGGCTCCCCCTCTTTTCACAGCGCCAGCCAGCTGATTTATTTTCCCACGCCCCCTCCCTTTAGGTAGGCT